GCAAACAAAATGGCGGGACTTGCTATTGCTCACACTGGTGTTTCGGCAACACGCATCTTCGTCGCGCGTGGAGTGCGCGTGAGGGGGGAAGGCGATGTTGACATAACCGCCGCCGAGTGTGATGGCGGGCGGGAACCACTTGCTACCGAGCAGGGGAAACCTGGCGGTGTGTTGCTCCCTACCCGATTGGTCGAAAACTTAGTTTCTAAGCTGTGAAACTCACACATCTCGTCGTCTTGCATGCAGCGACGTGGTTTAGGCGGTCAGTGTACTCCGTGCTGCGCTGTTGGAGACAATCTTGATTGTTGCGCTCTAGGTTGGGCAGTAGCACGGCGGATACGGTCACTGATTGAGCAGTTTCATTGAAGGTTGCATGTGCTGTATCACTCCTCTTGGACGGTATCTTGTGTGTATTGTGAGTGTTTTGAGTGGTGGAATGTCCGAACTATCTTTTCCCGAACGGGTGAATCTTGCGAGCCGTCGAAGAGCTAGCATTCGAGATCGAGACTCCAACGAAGCACGTCACCGCACCCAACGTCTTGGAGGGAAGAAAAGCTTTACGCCCTGTGCCGCCAAAAGAGTATCGCCATTGTGAAATACCCTAGTGCAAATCCAAAGATGCGCAATGAAAAATCCCAATTATGTCACCAATAGGCGGCATCATCGATCCCACGAAGGAGACAACAACGACGACTTTCCAATCCCACCCGAGCCAACTGCAGACACAACGCCCTCCGTCGCCATGGCACGACGCAGCGCCGTCTCTTCGCTACGTCAAATCGAACGCCGCCATCATCAAAGCTGTTGAGCATAGCCGTGTGCTGCGAAAAACGCCGCATATTTTGATTCCATCAAAGGCCTCAATTTTGTCTCAGCGACGATCCGTTTCACGCTGCAGCACGGACCAGTTGAAGGTCGTGCTGCAGCGTGCAATGGACGTTGGTCGCCTGGATCTCCGGCGCAGTCCACATGAACTAACATAGTTAGTTTCTCAACCCGATTTTGACAAAACTCGACCAGTATACTCCGTGGAGAGAAAGCGTTTTGGCCATTTAACATTGAAACCTACCTGTTTTTGGCGCTCACGAAGGCGCTACATTCGAGCGACTAGAGAAGGGTGTAGCTGCTGTAGATGACGGAATTTCGACATCGATGGCCAAAGCCAGGCCGTGCTATTGCACAGCAGTGTTGGAAACAGATAAGGTTACATTTACGCAGTATGCGCATCATGCAGCGAGCCGTCTCGGCACGGCAGTTGCCGCCCCTCGAATTGGCGACACAATACGCCTCTTGCAGGAATACGAACGCGGGCCCACCGACAGGAATCGGCTCTCAATAATGTTGTATTGGAAACACACACCTACTAGCCTACTAGACGAGTTTTCAAGCGTCTGCTCTCAGATCTGAGCCCACACTTTGCATGCACTCTTATTGGCAGATAAGCGGGGCGGGTTCGGGAAGGATGCTATTTATAGCATTTCAATAATAAAACCACGGCGCCTGGTTATAAAACGTTCATCGCTAGCACTCCATAGGGTCGGCCGTGTCGTCCATGGAAGAGCTGCGCTGCTTTTGGAATGCCTCGGCTGCGTGCACGCAAGAAGAGTGGAATCCTTGCAACTACGGGTGGCTCTGGGAAGCCCCCATCGGCTTTGTGACGCTGCTCTGGCTCGTCTTGGGGGCCGCCATGCTTCACCACGGCCCGTCCACGACGCGCCATTTCGAACTCGACGTCGCCAAGATCCACGATCCCCTCGAGCAAGGTACACCACGCACATAGCACGACGATTCGACCGACTTTTTGTCTGTACTCTGGTGTAGGCATGGCCATCGCATTGGCGCAGCGCAAAACGACGTCCAAGAAGCGCCCGTGGCTCCTTCGTGCGATGAAACTGCTCGGTATGTGGGCCGAGTGGCCCGCGTACACGTACGCGCCGCTTCCGATCGCGTTCCGGGCCGTCGAGATCGAAGACGTTGTCGAGACGCTGGCGATGCGAGTGAGCCCCGTGACCGACGTCCGACGCCTTGTCCGTGTCGCTTTTGCCTGACGCACCGTAGGTCCTATTTCTTGCGCTTGCTGTGCTGGGTCTTCTCGGCGCCCTCGTGCTGCGGCGACTCAAGACGCGGCGCAGTACAGATTGTCTATTGGTGTCGCTGTGGTCGACCAAAGATGTGTGTAGGCCACGATCTGTTGCTGCACTTTATTTGTCCCTTGCTGCTGGATGTGTTGTACATTCCCATCTTGACAGCCTTCCTGCATCAAATGACGTGTCCCCACGGCTTTTACCGCATCCCGTTGCCCGACGGCGCGACGTGCGAGTGCGTCGACCGCTTTGGCTACTTTTGGGTGCGCAACTATAGACAATTTGTCCATCTTTAGGACGACTGACACGCCTGTCTGACTAGTTCATTGGCACCGTTGGCTTTGTCGGCACGTACCTCAGCTCGCTCTACTACAAAAAGTACATGGAGCCGCTCAGTACGACCATGGATTTCCGGTTTCAGAGCGGGTACGACCTCACGATGGTCATGGCGCGAACACGTACGGCAACTTGATGGGTCCTACGCACAAATACATGTGCTGTGTCTAGTCGACCCGATCCTGATCATCCTCATCATCTCGCTGCACTTGGAAACACACAAGTCGCGTGCGATCGTGCTCGCACTTTGCCTCTTGCTCTGCATGCTCGTGTTGCTCATCTACTCGTACCAGACGCAGCCGGTACGTCCGACTACGACGTCGCTTTCACAATCCAACAGGAATGACATATTGGCTTGTAGTGCATCGGAAGCGGCCGCGTCCCCAACAACATTCGCACGCTGACGTACTCGAGCGCGATCTACACGACGCTGTGCGTCCTTGCGTTTCTTTTGAATCCCAACAGCTCCCACCACACCGACTCGCACGGCCTCTTGTACTACTCGCTCACGCCGCTGCCGCTGGTGTGGGTCGCGTCGTGGTATATCAACGACCGGCGGGCGCGACGGTACCATATTCCCGACCTCTCGATCGCCGACTTGCTCCACGAGCCGTCGGCGCAAGCCAATGTCGTCGGCGCGATCGCAGCGCTCTACATGGACGCCGCCAAGGTACCCCAGTACGACTGCGAAGCCATCATCTCGCGCCTCGACAAGTTTGCACGCAGCAAGTCCATCTCGGACCCCATGTGCCGCCTGTACGCGATCCGGACGCTGTGGTTTTGCTACATTGAGGTACATGATGCTAGCGATGGCAAGCGACATCACGATCGATGGTCTAGAGCTTTCGAAAAAGCAAGCGCTGTGTGGGCGAGCCCGACGACGGCGACGTCGTGCCGCACAAACTCTGGCTCAAAGACCGCAACAACCCGGACCGCCCGATCTCGCTGCCTCGCTTGTCGAGTGCCCACGTCAAACTCGAGTCACGCGTCAAAGTGTCTCGCGCCGAAGATCTTCAAGGTGCGAATGGATTTATGGTTTGTATCAACTTGATACTTTTCAAACACTAGCCGTGGTGCACGAGGTCGAGCACCGCAACACCATCAGTAGCTCCATCTGGCGGCTCGCGTCGCGCTTTTCCGAGTCGACGTCGCGCGTGGGCTTGACGAACGACGTGCCGGACGCTACAGGTCTACGAGGCGTTGGGAGCCCGAGCATCAACAGCACAATGCCTACGGCGAGTACGGCCACCTACCACGTGATCCTTGTACGCCACAAACACTGGATATCCAAAGCTGAGTCACCGGACGCGGCTGTCCAGCACATGGAAGCGCTATATGAGCTGAGCCTCTCGCTGCTCACGCTCACGCACGACATGGGTCATGAAGTGGGCAAGCTCGAAGCCGCGCGGTTCCTCCTCGAGTGGTACAAGTCGCGCTACGTGCGACTGACAAAAGCCACCTTTCTCCAAGTGCTCACGACGCTCTGCGCGTCCCCAAAGCCCAAGGTTGTGATTGATGCAGTCCACAGTCTTTGGGCGGTCGAAGAGGTCTTCCCCGTGACACGATGGCTCGCACAGCCCCGGCTCACGAACCAACTGGCGGTGGCTTTGGGCCATAGTAGCAAAACGACCGTGCTTCAGTGTGCCACGACGCTTCATCGCATCTTTGTTCAAGCATCGACAATCACATGTGTCAACGTCTACGTGCTTCTGACGCCCGAAGCCATGGCCGCGCTGCTTGGTGCGTTTCGGCGCTGGGCCGACGACTACTCGGTGAGCGACGCACTCGAGCAGCTGTACCTAGTGCTGTCGGGCATTGAACATCAACGCAAGCGGGCAGCTGCGGCCCCGCGAGGCAAACCCAGCGGATTTCTGCGGCGTCTGTCCAGCGCATCGTTCAACGCAATCAAGGCCACACTCTCAAAACGCCTGCGCCTTTTCTTGCAAATGCCGCCGCCCGTCATCACTGAGACGTCGCGTCGGCATAGCGTGGTCGGTGTCATCCGGAATGTCCCGTCGCAAGTGTCAAATTCACGGCGTATGAGCTTTGACGCGCCATCCCGCGTGGTACCTGCCGTCTCGCCCGCGACACCACCGACGCCGACCACGCCTGCTAAAAAGGGAGCTATTCGAGCGTCCTCGAAGACAACGCCAGAAGATCCGTCGGCCAACTTCAAGCGTCTCGTTTACGGTGATGGCAAGCACCAAGGCCCATCGTCGCAGCCTGGACGCGGCAAGCAGTTTGCATTCGTGCCCCCCGATGTGCTGGCCGAGATCAAGCGCCGGCGCCTCGTGCGCGCTGCGTTCGATGCCAAGCTCCACAAGATTGCCGCCGACACGGTCGCTTCGACCAGTGAGATTGAGAGTCTCGTGACCATGTGCATGGACGCCGAAGACTGCGCGTTGATCAGCTACGTCAACGTGGCGGTGGGTAGTGCCCACCCTGCAGCGCATGATCCGCCGTCATCGCTTGAAGCAACGTCGCCTCTCCGCCGCGTACTATCAAAAGCCGCGGTGACCAAGGCTGTCGGGCAGACCCGCGCTTTGCTGCACGAGACGCCGCATGTATCGATCAGATCGCGTATGAGACGGTGGTGCTGTGGCACGCGGGCGAGTCGCGTCGAGATCGAGCGACACCAGGTGATCCGGGACCATTTGAGAGCCGCGCTGCAGCGTGCGATGGACGCAGTGCGCCAGAATGTCCAGCGCGGTCCGTCCATCTCGGATGTCGGGGATACCCCTTTCCTCCCGAGTCCCTTACCGAGCGCAACGTGATGTTTGAGTGCTTTTGAATTCACTCGTGACGACCAGTGGCGTCGACCAAACTCAATTGACAGTACGTTTTGGGCGAATAAAACTGGGATTCGAGCCGTACGTGCCCGGATGTTTCATGGCGTTGTTGTTGCCATTCGTTCACATCGATTTGGGCTGCCAACGGTGGCGAAACGCAGCTGTTGCAGACGATATCTCATCGCCGAGGATCGCTACCTTCGTCGTTGACCAGGTCGTTGACAAGCGAGCGCGCCACGTCAGCTATATTAATATTGGCCATGCGATGGATGGTGGCACAATTGCGAGTCGTCAACCGTGGGCACGAATTTGCGACGCCGACACATTCGGCGTCTCTTGCACTCACCCCATCGACACTGTGCATACCAATAACGCCTGTCTGTGTTGAGGCTGGTGGTTTGCGGCGCCAGAAGGAATAGTTTCTTCGCGGAACGTGTGAAGCTCTGGTTTTGGACAAGGCCAAGCGTCAACCGCGCTGCCGACCCGCCATCTCACCCTTGATAGCGGCACAGCCAGCTTGCTTATTATAGCGACCATCAAGACGAAGTCCTGCAGCCCCAGCTCATTTGCGATTTGCTCATCAAACTCCAGACCTCTTGGCTACTCAAGGCTCGTTGAACCACACACCACCCCCTTGTTGGGCGGTGGTAAACG